ATATTTATTAATTCTTCAAGTTTTCTGAACAGAACTTATGGGCAACATATAGGTTTCATATCCAAGAAGCCCAAAACTCAAGATCAACCAATTTCCATCCAAAGTCCTCAAATTTAGGCCAAAACTATGAATATCTGAAAATCTGGTTAAAACAGAAATTTCTGTGCACAATTTTTTAAGCCAGAAAAATCCTTTATCACTAAGTCAGAAAAATAAATTTCTCAAACACATAAATACCTTCAATACATACAGGTTAATTAATAGGTCATCTTTAATATTGGGAACACATTTGTTTCAAAACAAAAAGCTTATTCAATACACACAAATTATTTTGCAGTGTAATTTATTATTTTGACTTCAATAGGATGATTGGGACACTTTGCGCAAGGTGTCACTTCCTATCATGTTTCCATATTTTCACTTTCACTCTCACACTGTTGCTGGTTTTCATTTGTCTCTTTCTTTCGGCCCAATACAGCTGTGAGTTGTCCCCTTTGATTGGGGAAGCCAAACCGGCTACTTGCACAGCATTTGAAATACCTGTTACAATACTGGTTTTGTCTTCATTACTTAAAAGGTGTACTTGAGCATGGTAAACCTGAAGCCTATGGCTTCTCCACCATAAAATTCTAAAGATGACAAGACACAGTAGTTTTTCAGTGAGGTCACAGCAGGAGAATACAGCATTCCTATATTATTGTTACCTTACAGTAAAAAATCCGGGGAGCTTTTCTTCACTAGGATTTTATGACAACTATCCTATGTTAACTGTCTCAATAGGAATAAAATCTTTTGGGTAGCAAAAACAAATAAAAATAGTAGTTTCATAACACAAATAAGCAAAAAAGTGATTGTTCATGGAAAAAATAATTTTAATATTAGTACACAAAGATTTGACGTCAAAGAAATTCCAGTTATAAATAAATACAGTAACTTCATCGCATCTGATGAAGTAAAAGCCCTCTGCTTGTGAAAGCTTACACATCTATGATTTACTTGGTAAAATGCAAATTTACCTTGCCTTTTGCCTTAAACCAAAAATACCAAAGTCTGTTCATCAAGCGCTGTAATTATGGTTTTAAAAGTAGTTTGTGTTAGCTTCATGTTATCTGGTCTGCAAATTCATGAGCTGAGGAAGGAAAAATACAGTCCCAACTACAGTTCTTTTCATAAAGCTTTTTTTAGGGCTTGCTTTAAACTAAACTCATAAACAAAACAAAACATACCACAGTAAACAGAATAGATACCAGAGATGTTTCCAGCATCAGGTAACTGTTAGGAGACAGGACACAACCATCCCTTATAAAAACTGACTTTGCAACAGTCCCTTCTTTCTTTTATAACCTCACAGGACCAAGCCCTTGACTGGAGGCACATTTATGCTTTCCCACACACATAATATGCCTTAATCTGAAATAAAAACTTAATTTGTTCTTAATTAGCTCCCCTAAGAATGATGCTCAAGGCTTGTCCAAAATGCTGAAAGGACCTGTCCTGGGGTGGGTGAGGCTAGGAGTGCCCACCCAGCCCAAGTTTACAGATGTGCTTCGCAACTGGAAGTTCTCCAGGGGTCATCCCTGGCATCTCCTCACAGGTTAACCACAGCCCAAGGGCTCAGGAGTGGGTGCTGGGGTTGAACCTGGAGTTGTCTCAGTGCTGAAACTGCCAGAGTGCCTATGCACTCAAGTACCTGCATTTTGTCCTGTCCTTGATGAGAAAGGCTGCTTTCATGTTATACATAAACTACCAGAATCCTGAAACAGGATCTATATGGGAAAATACACCTCCAGAACTCCCACTGAAATCACTGGACCTTCTTAAGAAGCTCGCGTGAGAGAATTGGGACCACAGTATCAGCTTCCCTGCAAATTTAATTTTCACTGAGAGCAATGAAGCATTCCACACACAGGAATTATTGATCTCACAGATCTACAAAAAGAAAAATTTAAAATATTTGAAGTAGGAATCCTTCCTCTAGCTGTTTAAACCATTTAAGGATCAAACCATATTATGTCTGGCAATGTCATTCAATCAAGACAATTCATCCCTTTTAATACTTGACCAAAACGAGATATAAATCCTGCTAACTGAGAATCAATTCAAACCTCTGGTGTAATTTGAATTAGTCAAACAGTAAACATAAACAAAAGCACTGGAAACAAAGAGTTAAAAACTATTAAGTGTGTTTCCAATCTCCTTTGAGAATATACTGCTAGCCTAGAAATCTTCAAGAATTCCAGCAGTATAATATCAAGGAAGCAATTACAATCCATCACCATACATACTCATCTACTCCTGAAAACCTTACAAGATGTTTTATATAGAAATTATGCTGTTCATAGACTGTAAGCTCTTTAATTAAAATAACTGTAGGTCTGTCAAACATGAAAACGTTACCACAAGTCTCATTTGATTGAAGAGCTTTAGCTTTCTTTAATTCCATCCGGATTTAAATGCACTAAGAGGAAGCTAACCCTTGTTGTGCTTCTAACAAGTTGCACTCTACAGTAGTTTTATGACATAACTGTACAATAACTAGAGAGATAGTAAATGTCTTTGGCCATTCTGTGGCTTTAAAATGGATTAAATGAGTTTCCTGGTGACCTCTTGGTCTAATGTGTTTTATATCCGTATACACTATTCAGGTCAATTCATTTTGCCATAAATACTTCTTTGCCTCACATAACTAACCAAAAAACATGACCCTGTCTGCCACAATTAACCAAACAACTTGATAGCAGAAATATTATCTGTAAGTTTTTAAACAAACAAGGAATATGTTTTAACAAGTTAAACAACATATTTTGCAGGCAATAACCTGTTACCCTCCAAAATCATAATTCCCTCTTCCTCCTCAGGTTTGAATTCCTTCAGCCCTTCAGGCTGCAAGAGACCTTGCTGGTATGGAAAAAGCATTTTACTCTTTCCTGCCTCAGTCTGCCCTCTTCTTATCGTGTTCACTACTTCTCAGCTGGATCCTCACTCTTCTCTTCAACTTCTCAGCTGAGAACTTTCTGGATGCTGCTGTTACTCTTCCTATTCTGGTAGCATTTACAGACAGCCCAAGTGAAACCAAGGCTTCTTTATGCTAGGTACAACATACACGGCAAAGTTAGATTCTAAGCAGTCAATGCATAAATATCCACTGGACTCTACTAACTTGATCCTCTGACATTCTCTCTATAGTCATTCTTTGAGCACACGCAGTCCCAGGATTTAGCTACCAATGACAGACAATCTTGTGCAAGGAGCCATTTTTATTAGCCAATCTCCTGTTTTAAGAGACTCCTTCCCCTAACCCCTCCATACCGACTATAAATGTTGCTTCACATTTACTTTATATGGGATGGTTTGGATAGGCAATGGGTTAGACCAGATGACCTAAGGACACCCAATCCAGCCCTACTTCCCCATGATTCTATGATTTTCTACGATTCTATGATTCTATGATTGAAATGTACGCCTAGTAGGCAACACACTTTCTTTCCTGAATATTTGCTTAAAACCAATTTCATAATAGATGCAGAAAAATCTCTATCCTTAGCATTTCACTTTTGTCTGCATCTCTGCCTTTATTTACCTACAGTAAAAAGGCAAAAAGTCAAAAGACTAGCTTCTTGAAATGACTAACCTAAAGGAATCTTCTTAAAACAACTTACTTTTTTTGTATTTTAATGTGTTTTTACTTTTAAGTTTAAAATGTTATTTGTGAGACGAGAACTATGAAGCAATACAATTTGGGTATGGGCCATCAAACCCTGGAAGCAATTAATTTTGATTGTATCATGTCTGTGCAAATTGAGTCTTATAGCTACGTCCATGATAACTAGAAATGCGCACCTAGGCCCTTAATAAATACATCATTTGAACCAGGTTCAACACCTAAATGATGATCACAAAAATGGAACCTAAAAATCTAGCTATGGTGATTCCCTGTTTTCCAACAAAAACACTGTTCTGTCCCTAATTATGCCAGCAGACATCAAAGTTTATTTGGCTACTATTGCCAGTAATACCATCTACTGCAACTTCAAGTTTGCAAAGCAACTTTGATAATTAAAAGTAAAGGGCTTAATAGCAGAAGTATATGCCACTACATACATTTTATTTGCAGAGTTACTTCTCTAATTTTTCTCTCCTCTGCAATCAATTTTCATATATTGGAATGTTGAATAATTATACCTATGCTAGATTACAATGCATGACTCTCCCTGAAACAGCCTAACTTGAAATACAGGCTATATTTGGGGGTATGTAAATATAAAAGTGTTAAAAAGATTGGAAGCCTTCTGAAATTTTTTTCTAAAAATGGATAAAAATTGCCATGCAAATATTAGTTCAGATCCACGTGAGCAATGCAAGTAACTTCAAGAGAACTCGTGAGCTGAATTTCACTAGATTAAAGAGCCAGCATTACTTGTATCTAAACACCAGGTAGATTAGCATTTAATAAATGCTACCTGTATTCCACCTCCTCATGTCACTCAACTGTAAAATTCCACCCAAGGTAAAAATAACCATCATGGGTTTTATTCAGTGGCCCTTCCACACACATCTCCAACTGATAATGTTAGGGATTCTGTAAAAAGGGTGGTTGCAAAACGGGGCCCATGCTGAATAAGAATTATATAGCCATACTTTTCATTGGTATAAACTGGTACAGCTGCATTAATGCAATGGAGCTGTATCAGTTTATACCAGAAACAAATCTGACCCAGAATTTCTTGCTTTGGTTTCTGAGTTCCTGTGAGAATAAATCTATTCTCTGGTATTTCAAAGTATTTTAAATGTAGTCCATTATACCATTTTTACAGTGGAAATCATAACACTTGTCAACATTTAATAATTCAGATGAAACATAGGAGTATGACATTCTAAACATTTTAAAACTCTTACTTTGTGTGCGCAGATTTGCATGGTTTCCTTTAATGTTTTAGAGGCTGCCTAGATAATTTACTTCTTTGGAAAGAAAACAAATATAATTATAATTATTGTGTTACCTGGTTACTTTACAGCTTGACTCAATCAACTCATTTTCAATATCCAAGAGGCTAGATGGCAAATTGTGTTCCAGAGGAGATGTCAATCTTTTTAAACGCAGTAAGCCAACGCAGAATTTGGCTCCCATTTCTTCCAGTTCTCGTGTCCCTATCTGCAAACCCTAATGAAATAAAATATATATTTACATGCATATGCACATATACACACACTCGATAAAACTATTTTGTAAAACACATTCTATATTATTTGTCACATTAGAATATTTTGCTCCAAAGAAATAGGGAGGTTTTAAATATATGCTTAGCAATCGTGATTTGAACAACTAAAAGGCTGTCACGGACTGAAGAAATTTTAAAAATATTTCCATATCTTAGAGAGAAAATCTGCTCTCTATGCACATATTTAATTTGAAAGCAGGGTAGATTTCCACTTTACAGACTAACAAT